CCAGAACAAGTCAGGCTGGAGGTGGAGCTGATTACTGCTAGAAGTGTAATTATAATCTCAAATTTTATTCAGATAAGGAAGTTATCCTCCCCCCCTGCCCCCTCCACTCTTTTTCCTTTTGATCTCCACAGAATCACAGAAGGGGTGGGGTTGGAAGGGACCTCTGGGGAACATCTAGTCCACCCCCTGTTAACCTGCCTTATTAATTCCTTATTCCATCTGGGATACCTACAGAGCCAGAAAGAAGCAGCAACATCAAGTACATGAATAAGCTTTGTTCTTTCCTGATCCTGTTTATTCTCATTGCCTTGCTCCTCCACTTTCTAATCACCATCCTTCATCCATATATTTTAACACTCTTCTTGAGCTCCTCATTTTTCCTAAATACTCAAGCTGCTCTCTTTGAGGTCAGCATCTCATCCATGCTCTTTTTCTACCCTTCCAGAGATGCAGTTTTCAGTTCCCTCTGCCCTGTGCTGGAACCATTTAACAGCCGCTTTCATACCTGCCACCAGAGCTTGTCCAGGCAAGATCCCCACCTGCGCATTCTGCTGTTCACCCTGCTGCTTCAGTCTGGCTTTTGTGTTTGTCCTGCTGACTAAACTGGCACCTCCTTTAGTCTCCTCAAGCCAGTATGCAGTGGCACTACACTTTCTTTTTCTATAACAATGCAGTGGGAATGTGTAAAGGTGTGCCAGCTTTGTGGTGACATCAATCACTGTGCCTGCTTCCCTCTTTTCATGTCTTTCTCCTGTCTTTTCAGTCTCCTCTGAACTGACCTTGATAGCTGAAACTGCTGCTGGGTGCAAAGCCTCCTTTGAAGAAGACTCCTGCACCTTTCTCAGGGTGTGTAGGCAGAAGGCCACCCCTGCAGATAATTCTGGGGACCAGGAACTTCACCTGCACAAGCACAGTGGAGAAATAGCTGGATAGCAGAGCTCACCAAGTGATGCACTTGGTCCCTCTGCCAAAAAATAACAACAAAACGCACTCTTGTCCAAAAGATGTCACCACTAGCCACTTTTAGAACTTGAAGCAAACCTGTTCTTTTCTGTGGAGGGTTGATGAGGAGCAGCCTGCAGTGGTTCAGCTGCATCCCATCATCTGCCTGTCCCTATGGGGAGGCACTGGGGCTGTTCCCTGCACAGAGGAGACAAACACCTTCTGAGCTGCCATGACCTCAGACTCCAGCAGTGCCCCCTCCCTTAAGGGACACTCTGCTCTCTAACCAGTGTAACTCGTGTTTTAGACCTTAAATTGCAAGCTGATTATACAATAAAGGATAACTTTGTAATGCCTGGCCAGTTTAAGAAGCTCAGCAACACAATATTAAGTAATAATTACATGGGACAAAATTACTGTCTGAAACACAATGCCAAAGAAGTTCCTTTAAAAAAGTACTATGTAATATTTCTCTTTTTTGTTTTGTGGGAATGGGAATGTACATAAAAAGTGCTCAATGAAAAGTCAGGCTTCTTTTTGCCAGGATTTTTTTTTGTTACTTCCACCATTGCCAAGCTATGAGAGGATCCTGTCCTGCTCTTTGCACAATTACTTTTATTTTCTCCCAGAAGCTGCAGTGCTTTCTGAAAGTGCTAGAAATGAACTTGCATTTTTTAGCACAGACACAGAGTATCAGAAAAACAACAAGGTCCCTTTTCTTGACCTTTCTCTGAAATGACCCTTGAACACACAGCCTCAGGAAAAGAGCTGCAGAACGAGTGTGATGTGCAGTGGAACGTTTTACACCCTTCAGAGGGGTCAGGTTATATTCTGAGGGTTGCCTTTGAGTATTAGAGCAACTTTCACCTTGACAGATGTTTGTCTCAAAGACCTGAAGTCTGGAAAAGTAAGTGGGTAGGTGTCATTATTTCTGGATACAGAGTGGCACTTCAGTGTTTGTATTGTGGAAGGAGAGGTATATTTTTAAAATTTCCAGATTTTGAGGTACGATCAAATGCTGGGATTAGTGGCAGTGCAATGAAATGGTCACACGAGGTAACAAGATAACTACTCAGTTTTCTAATTCAGGAAAGACAGTAATAAATGATAGCCAGTGTTGTTCAAGGAGACCATGCACTCCACATGCCAGAAGGGGAAATGAGAAACCATCAAAACCCTACAATCTGTGGGCTCTTGGATTACACAGGGCTGTCCCCAAGCTACTGAGTAGGTTTGGCATTGAAATCCGTGTCAGAGCTGCAAAGAGAGACAAAAAAGAACCATCCCTGCAGCCATCACCTGGCAGAGCCCTCGGGCACCTCCTTCCCTTTGTTTCTCTTGCTCTTTCTTTGCCTCTCTCCCCTTCCTGCACGTTCTGCCCTTCCCCCAAGGAAGGCTGCAGCATCTAAAAACACCATCCTTCAAACCTTCATCCTCAAAATCTGCTCCACTGTTTTATAGGTGGGTTTTTCACATAAAATCCTCCTTGGGCCTCTTCAGTCTCTGGGTGCCCCCAAAATGAGGAATGGAGAGCAGTTATCCCACTTCAGGTCAGAGTCTTTCCCCTTTACTAATATAATCAATAATCTGTTGCAATTCAAGGGACTTCTAGTGAATCAAGGATGCCTTTTTTTGCTGTGCCTTGACGTGCACTTGCCCTGCACAACGGGAGGCTGACAGGTGGAGTCAGGAGGGGAGAACAGGACAGGCTGGACTCAATCCCACCTCTCAGGGGATGGTGGGAACACAGAAACTGTCCTTCAGGGCTGAGGAGCAGGCAGCAGGACACTGCTGTGACCCACCAGTGATGGAGGGCTTTGTTTGAACAAGTAACTGCCTGGTAACCAGATTTTAAAATGAACAGTGTTTCCCAGGCTGCTCTGGATCAGACCAAACTAGAAAGTTGAAATGACTGATCTTGTTGTGTCTTCAGCAGCTTACCTGGCACAGAGGCGGGAATCCCACTGGCACACAGCACACTGGAGCAGGAGCTCCTTGGCTTTTTAATGCCACAAAACAAGCTTCTGTTTGCACCCTGAGCTGTGTTACAGCACGACTTGGGCTCCTGTTCCAACCCACGGCCGGGTGAGGGGGACACAGTGGGAACCTTAACTTGCACAAATTCCCATAAAGCTGATAATAGAAGAGCTCAAAGGCTCTTCCTTTCACCTCCCCACTTTCTGACAGGAAAACCTTTTTCTCTCTACAAAGGCAGGCAGAGCACAGGACTTACTGCATCAAACAGAACTGAGATCAAAGGGATCTCAGCTGTGCACCATCAACTCCCACATCTCAGGTTTGCCTCTCTGCCTCCCCTTGCTGCTGCAGTGGGATGGGTTATTTAACACTGCATTTAGTCCTTTCCTAAGAGATTACCAGGTTTAGTTCAGGTCTAACCTTCTGCCACTGAAAGGACTTTAGTAGGTGGGACCTACCCTGAGCATCTCCTCCCTGCTGCTGTTCCTCCCTTCAGCCAGAAAAGGGGGATCTCTTCAACACCAGAACAAGAAAAAAATGTCCTGTGTACGTGGTGATTTCTTTTTAACCCAAGAAAACATCAGACCATGCCTAAATGATGTGTCACGAATGCAAGTGTAGCACATTCACAAAGGAAGTCCAGTCTGTGTTCTTGGGGTGGGGGAAAAGGGAGCAGGTGTGATAGGAAGGAGGAGGAAATCCTCTCTCCTCTCAGCAGTTTTCAAGCTCTGTTACATCCACTTCTCTTCAAGGACTGCTCACCACTCTGCCCTCACCCTGAGGATGAGAGGCAGGGAAGGAGTTCCCTCTGCTGTGTGAGAACTAGAAAAACCTGCAAATGTGAGCAATAACCAAGAAAAACTAGGATAAACAGCAACCAAGAGGGTAAATGTGAAGAGGTAACAGGCCTGTAGTGCCCCAGATCAGCTCCTCAGTGAAACAAGAACAATGCATAGGTGGTTTAAAATAAATATAGTCTCTTACTAAAAATGGCACATCCTCTCTAGCTTCACCACCCACTCCTAATGGATCAAAACAATATTCTCCAGCTATCAGCAGCCTGGTCAAGAACTGACTGCTTTCCCCAAAAAACAGGCTTAGAATAAAGGCTTCTTACTTAATTACATTAAAAAATTATTTCCGTGGGATTGAACTGCTTAGTTGCCCCCTAAACTTAAACAGGTTCTTTTGATACATGTATTTGAAGGTTGACTGACCTGTTCTAGGAGTAGTTATTAATTAATAATTATTGATAGGAGCCTTATCATTCAAGTATAATGATGATTTTTTTTTTTTTTTCTGAGGTCCAGGTGAACACAAGCAAAGAAATCCATGGAGCTGAAATTTAACAAGGCAAATACATGGATAGGCTTTGCAGGAAGCCACATCTGCCTTCAGATGTGCCACCTGGGGGAAAACAATACATATTTTAATTGAATGGGAAAACAAATGCAATCTTTATTATTTTGTAGAGTTAGGAAACATCATGGAGATAAATTTATGGGAGTTATCTATCCTAATACTATCTAAAACAGCTTTCTACACTGGAAAACTAGAACCAGAGACTTCTAGAAACCCCAGAACAATTAATTCTTGGCTCTTTTCTATCCATCATCAGCAGACTTTTTTTCTTCCTGCTCTGAGGAGATTATAAATGCTGAGTTACTCTGGGCTGTCTGAGCAATGATTTGGGTTTCAAAGGAGACCTGTCCTGGCTGAAAGCTTAAAGCTCTGCTTTCTTGGCAGAGCCCCACTCTACTTTCAGAGTTGTGTTGCCAGAACTGTTTACAACCCCGAGCAAATCACTGGCTCAGAGAGGTGTGAACCCACCCAGCGCCCTGGAAAACCCATTTCACACCCGTGGAAACAAACACCATTCCTCGAGACTGATCCCATGCTGAACAACAAAATTCATTTGGCACAATTTACCAAAAAACAAACAAACAAACAAACAAACAACAAACCAGTAAGAAGCAAGCAGTGCTTTCCCCAGCAGCACTGACAGAAACACACAGGGAAACAACCCTTCAGAGCTGCTCAGCCTCTCTGCTGTTCCTGGCCAGTAACCACCGATTTTCCCTTCACTCCAGGTGCTGTCATTTATCATCTTTATCTGCTATATTGCATCTCTAGCAGCTTCTTTCATGATGGCACCGCTCCTCGAGTTTCTGCTGGCACTGTTTCTTTTTTTTGCCTACGCCTCCAAGCTGAATGAGAAGTTTAAAGGACTCTACTGGCCTCTGACGGTGAGTGGAAGGTGCAGCACAAGCCCCAGACTGAACCGTGCAGGGTTACAGGAGGAGAAGGGACTGCACACAAGTTTAGGGTCACTGTTAACAACTCCACCCTCTTATTAGAAACTTGTCTGTGTTGCCTCTCGTAGAGAAGGTGCCAGGGCACTCTTTGAACCGTGCTGTGCTATACCCTGTAGCTTGTTTTGGTGCTGACACACAGCTTGGCTTTATCCAAGCACAGAATTTATGCCTAATTCCAGGCTTAGGGCTGGATCTTCAGAGGCAGCATCAGCCTGAGCACTGCTGGGGGCTCCTGCCCACTGCCACCCTCCCAGGCAGGGACAGGGGGGTGCTGCCAGCGAGGGACAGGCTTTACTGGCATGGTTTTCAATTCTCAGAACGTGCTGTAGAGGGGCAGAGTCACCCCACAGTCACAGCTGCTGCTGGGAAGGGGCAGCCCTGCAGCTCCTGGCACCGGTGCTGGGGCTGCAGGCGATCCCCGGCCACTGGATGTCCCTGCTGCCCCAGACACACCCTGCACAGGGAGCAGTCCTGGAGCAGCACAAACACTTCCCAAAACCCTGCTGACCTAATCAATCTGGAGTCTCTCTCGGTACCAGCAGTAGTTCATCATAGTGAGAGCTGAACCAGAGCTCTCAGTGCATAAAAACGACTTGAGGGAGGCCACTGGTGGGTAAAGGGCTATCAGTGGCTTTGACTGCACAGTTTTCAGCTGGTAATCTCAGTTCCATCATTTTCTCATTGTCTACACCCATCTGTTTCCAGAGCTAAGACAAAAGAGGCACTTGTGTGTTTATTTTGGCCATTACCTTAATACACTGCAGCCACAGAATGTAGATAATTGACCCTGTCCTGACTTCAGAAGAGTCAAGTTTCTTGTAGGATTTGTGTTTTGAGACATTATCCGTCTGTTCTGAAAGGGCAGAAGAGCTACCTGTGAACAGAGCTCAAGTGCAGCTGCCATGATTTACACATCCCTGGGAATCACAGCTGTATTAAACACCCACTGCAGAGACAGCCCTGCTGGTGTCACAGGGCATGGCCCTGCCGTGCAGAGCCACAGCAGCTCCTCTTGCAGTGATCACCACAGGCACTCTGGGCAGGCTGCTGGAGTCACAACAACACACCGAGTACAAATCACTTCAATAAACAAAGTGCTTAGTTCAATAAACAAATCCCTTCAATAAACAAAGTGCTTAGTTCCTGACTGAGGAGTTCCTGCAGACAGAGATCATCATACAGACCTATATCCACGCAGGGACAAGCACCCACCTGTTCCCACAGGAGCTGTACCCTCCTCCTGAGCCCTGGTACCACAGGAGTTCTGCTCAAAGATGAGACTTGCAGGCATTTCAGATGATTCTGCCATCAGACCCCTCGCTGTGCTCCGGGGCAAACAGCCCTTCCCAGCCTGAAGAAGGGTCTGCCCCCCACAAGCTGAAAGCAGGAGTGACACAGCATCATCTCCAAGAGCAGGAGTTGTGCCAAGATTCCAATCATCTCTTCCTTAAAACATCCCCCAGAGGAGCAGCTCCTGCAGCCCAGAGCTCACACAGGGTGGTCACTGCTGCAGGGGCAGAGGGTTGGAGAGCTCATTGCCCAGCTGGTTTGCAGAGGGGTTTGCATGCTGGGGCTCCGTGACTAATCTGGGAATGCATCACTGCTTATTCCACAGGATTTCTTGCGCTGTGTCACTGCTGCCATTATTTACTTTGCCATTTCCATCGCTGCTGTCTCCAAGTACAGTGATGGAGCATCTAAAGCAGCAGGGGTGAGTAGACATGACCTTCCCACTCCTGTACTTTGGTGAACTGCCTAGAGATACAGTCCAGAAACGGTTCAATTTTGACCCCATTGCAAGCAACAGAAATTTCTGCAATTAACTGAGAATTGCTTTGCCCAAATCAAAGAGGAAATGATCAGTTATTCAGGAAAATACGTTTTGAATCAATAGTTTTTTCATGCTGACAGTGCTGCTCAGTGTTAACTGTGCTCCTTGGGGAAGGCACCTGTTCTGCTTTTTAATTCCCCCAGATGCACAGGGAAGAGAAACTCTGTTCCTGCCTTTGGAACAGATCCTTGAATGGAGGGAATAATATTAATGACTAAAAAAAGGAATCAAACCTGTAACTGCTAAGGCCAGTCTAAATTAAGTCATTTCAACCTCTCAATTTTACTTGGAGGAGCTGAAACAAGAGCAGTGTCATTTTACCCTCCAGCACCACGGCTGCCCAGGAGAGAGCCTTTGCCATCAGCATTTTGTGTTCAGAAATACAATCCAGCCTATCCACCTGCAACCTGACTCCAGGCATCAATAATGGAGGCAACATAAATAAAATCTGCATCATAATTTTTAAAGATGGGAAAGAACAATACCCAGCAGTGCTGAGCAGGAGCCCTTACCATCCCCAGTCACACACAGTGCAAATCCAGACCTCATTTTAATCTTTGTTCCTCAATTTATAGCTGGAGATGTACAAATGCATTTACCCCAGACTAAAACCCAGCCTGTTCTTGGCACTGCTGCTGCTCTGACACTGAAGGGGGAACTCCAGAATAATTTTAATCTCAGTCTGGTTCACTCAGCAACAGACAGGTCTCCTTGCAAGCCAGGAAGAAATTATTTCCAGAGAAACCAAGGTTGATTTCTTGATGGCAAAGAGATGCCCAGGGATGGTGGAGGTGCAGGTTTTGTTCTCCTGTAACTCCCAGCAGATGTTCTGATGCTCAGAACGTGCCCAGAGGGGCCTGGGGAAGGGCTAAAGACACAGCTGATGACTTCTCAGGCTCCCAAATTAGCTGTAATTTAGTTGAGGCCATTGAGTCACAAGCCATTTCCCTTCCCTGTCCTCTTGGAAAGGCACAGGCACAAACCCACCAAGCTCAAGCTTTAGGAGTTTCTCTTGTGTTGTCACTGCTGGCCTGTTTTAAGGAGTGTTCTTTTGCCCTTGCAGGTGTTTGGGTTTGTAGCCACCATAGTGTTTGCCATTGATTTTTACATCACCTTCAACGACCTGCTCGGTTTCCTCAAGCAAGGCAGTCCTGATCCCCCCGAAGGGCACAAGTCAGAAGGTGGGTAAAGTTCCCTGCTCTGTTACACGAGCAGGTAACCTGAGATTTTCTTCTCCATTTCACCTCTGGGGGGGAGCAAGAGCACTTATTTTCTATTCCTGGCTGCCTTGGGTTTGTGAGCCACAACTGTGCTCACTTAGGAAGCTGCTTATCCTCGAATACAACTGGAGTTCCAGTGACTTACAAAGATAAGGAGCAAGGCAGCAAGGTGACATCCAAATCTGGAAGCCCCCAAATCCAATCATAGAAACTATCAGCACAGACTTTCTTCCCCCATCAAAATGTCCTAACGCAAAAACAAGCAAACATCTGCCTTTTTTCCATGGTAACTTAATAATTAACACCCATTCATCCACAGTCTTTCATGTCCAGTGTGCTCTTCTATTTATCATCTCCTTATCATGATTGCCTGTTGTGACCAGCTTCATTGACCATCTGTGGGCAAATGGCCTTGAAATCCCAGGGCCAAAGAGCACAAAATCAACAAGGCTGTCAAGAATTTGTTTTCTCTAGCAGGAGGTATAGTCCACTTCAGACAGATCCACTTAGATAAAGATAAAAAGAGGGACCCACTGCTGGGTGTTCAAATCCAATTCAGGTCAGGCCAGGCCAGAGGTAGCAGTTTTGCACTGCCCAAGAGCCCAAAGTGAGCATCATGTCCCTGTGACACTGCTCATTCCACCCACCCAGAGGAAAAAGACCATTCCATGCTTTAAAAAAAAAAGAAAATAAATCCTTAAACCCAAGAAAACAACCCACACAAAACCAAAACCCACAAACCTCCTCAAAAACAAACACCCAAGATGTGCACAGAGTCCTAGAAGGTGTACAGCAGCACTAACAGCCTTTTCTAGGGATTTTAGGAAACTGTTACATGTTTTGCAAGCTTCAGGCCAAAAAGAGAGACAAAAGGAAGAAGAATTAATGGAACAGATCACAGGAAATCGCTGCCACCTCCTCCTCTGAGCCATCCCCTGCACTGTGGTGCTCCAGTGCCCCTCAGCAGCATTTCCAGTGCCTTTGAAGCTCCCCTGGAAGCTCCATCCTGTTGGCAGGAGCATCCCAGGGATATCATTCCCCCAGCCCTTCCCCACGCCGTGTCCTTTGGAGCAGCTCCTGCCCAGAGCAGCAGCAGGGCCGGGGCTTCCCGTTCTCCTTTCACTTTTGTTCCTTGTTTTACCCCTCAGATGAGGACTCTGACTCTGACTCAGACTGAGGAACCAAACACCAACCAAGCGTGAAGGGAAGATGATCGAGCACTTTCCTCTGCTGAATGCACTGCCAAGTGAAAGATCTCCCTTACTGCAGCCTCCGGATCCTCTTCCCACCTCACTGCTCGTGGAATCGCCGAGGCATGGACAGGGCAGTGATGTGGAGAAGAAGACAATTCCCAAAGCCATTAGAGACTTTGTCAGAACTTCAGTTTCTGCAGCAGTTCAGCCTTTCCCAGAGGAGTGTGTCCCAACACAGCTCAGTCCTCCTTTGCCCCTCCTTCCTACGACGTCCCGAGTGAACGGGAACGGCATTTTAAACGTGTAATCAGAGCTTTTAACCTGCTTTCTTCCTTCCAGATCTTTAACACTTACAGCTTTTGTACTTCTTGACGTGCCAAAGAGGAGAGGTTTGAATGCCTCCATTTGTATTTCTCTTTTTAACTAACAGTATTTCCTTCTCTGGAGTCTGAGTGTTCCACTCTGAAGCACTGAAGGCCTGGATTCCAGTGAAGGGTTGGTTACATTTATATCTGCTGCCTGTCTGGGACCACAAGTGACAACTGGAAACCTGCAGCGAGAGCAAACCTCAGAGTCTAACTGCTGCAGGCAGCTGGCTCATCAGACATTCACAATCACTCTTTTTAAGCTGCTTGGATGGAGTCACATCCCATTCTGCCACACGTGGGACAGCTGAGCCCCAGGAGGGCAGGGCATCCTCCCCACTGGGAAAAGGCACAGAAACCGAGCCCCAAACTACAGAAAGTCTGCAATGAATTCATTTTCCCAGACTCCTTTCCTCAGTGGGAAGGGAGAAGTTGGGTTGGTTTTTTTTTTTTTCCCTGGAAGGACAGGAATAATTGTGGTGGTGTATTCAGGGAAAAAGCCTTCTGAATTTACAAGGTGTTTTCAAAAGTAGCACAACTTACCTTGAAATATTTGTATCCACCTACAAACACATGCTGCTTGGGAAAAGCGTGGCCTGCTCCTTACAGATGGCAGCAGACAGCTCTGTGCCAAAGAAATCTGGAGATATTTTTTAAAAATTAATACAGCACCAGAACAGGTGGCCTTTACAAAAACTAAAATGAGAGCAGATGGTACTAAGAGAGTAAATGAAAAACAGGGGTAAAACAATAAAGGCAGGTTTCCCCTGGAATAAAATCACCACTTGGATTGCAGTTCCCTGGCAGCAGCTGGCTGCTGCCCACAGGACCTCACAGGGAGCAGGGATTGGGAAGGGGCTGGTCAGACTGGAGGTGTCCTCAGGCAGCTCCTACATCTCCTGTTTCCCGACCACTGAGAACAAAAGCAAAACAAGTGGTTGATTAGTTCTAAATGTGACAAATCACCTCTACTTTTATAAGAAAGACCTCTCTGGACCTTCTCCTGTATGAAATCCCGTGTTTCTTTCCCTTGTTGTCATATTTTCCTGGCACACACTGTGACATCAGGGGACCTGGGCTCGTTTTTATACTCATTTTGTATTTCTCTCTTTTTTTTTTTTTTTTAATTAAAACAAAATGTACTGCATGTCACATCTGGAAACTAGTACATGGTTAATATTTAGAAACCACTCTGGATTAAATCTCTTTTCATAGAAGTGTTGGGTGTTTTTCCTTATTTTAAGAGCTGATTTTAGTGCCTCCCCTCTGCCCAGCACAGGGAACTCCATCACTGTGTGCTGGGGAGGTGGCAGAGCACAGGGGGACCAACCCCTGCTGCTCCCACAGCTCCTGAGGACAAACAAACATCATCTTCAGGGCATAACCATGGAAGAATTTAACCAAGGATTACTTTCCACATATTGAGACACTGGGGATACAGAGCTCTCACCTGGCAACTAAAAACACAGCAAAAACAGTCCCCTTTGGGCTCACCCTTCACACAGGTTGTAACCCAAAATATACTGAGCTTTTCTGGCTGTTTTTTCACCTTGGATCACTCCTAAAGTCAACAGAGGTAGCAAAGTGGCTCATGAGTTGCTTCAGGATTGCTTTAGCAGGGAAATGCCTGCCCAGGGAACTGGTTATTGGCTTTTAAGTACTTGATGATTTCATTCATTTCTAAGCAGTATGCTCCCAGGGTCAAGCACTTGTGTAGGATTCCAGCCTTTTATTTAAAAAGATCTGTTCCCATGACCGAAGTAAAACACAGTTCTGTATTTTCCAAATATCATTTCAAAAACTTAAAAAATAATTAAAGGCCATTTTGACTGAGGGAGGTGGGGACTGACTCAGTCTATTGTCCATTTTCTGCCAGCACTATTGCACCAAGATCAGAGTCTGTGCAGAGCAGGGGAGAAGAAAACTCGGTGTAGAATCAGTGCCAGACGTTTAATGGTCTAAACACTGAGACTCAAAGCCACTGGCAGGGGAAAAAGCACCACAGACAAGTGGTTCCTGCAGCTCACACTGGCTGAAGGGCTCTCTCCCTCCTTCTCCTCTCAAAAACCTTTTATATTTATCTGTGGAACTTGTTCAGTCTTGTGTGCTGGTTCTTGGACAGGTGACATGAAGGAATTCAAGACCTCTCCAAGCAGCTTTTTTAAACTCTGACTGAACTAAGGGGCATCTGGCCCTGCTTCCCAGAATATTTAACATTTGTGTGTGGGTTTGTTTGGGGTTTTAGTTTTTTGTTTTTTTTATATAAGTCAATGTTTAAATCTATTTCCTTGAAGAGGAAAATACCAATTCCAGTGTTAATTTTGTCCTGTGCTTTTATTTTATATATTTCGGACATTTTATATATTTTGTCCCTCACATTGTGTTTGCATGATCCATGAATAAGAAATCCATTCATCTTCCCAGGAGACTGAAGTATTCAAAAGTTAGACAGAATAAACTTTATAAAATTTGACAAGTGGCAAAGCTGCTCTGGACTAAGGACCCACAGGGTAATCCACTTTGCTGCTGCTTCCAGCCCCTCAGGGCAAGGTGAGCTGCCCCCCTTGCTGTAAAAGCACATTTTTGGTTGCACCATTTGTTGTTTATTCAGATTTTGTTAAAAAAAACGCTGCTCTTTCCCTTTTCTACACTTCCACCTGAAGTTTCTTAATTTCTAATTCTAACTCCATCACTCCAAACACCCCCCCTTCCTCCTTCTTGCCCCACTTTACACACTGAGAGTGATGTCCCATGGGCTGGAATATCCCTCTGGTCAGCTGGGGCCACCTGTCCTGGCTGTGTCCCCTCCCATCCTCACACACCCCCCACTGGGGCCCTACAGGGGCAGGAAAGGCCTTGGCTCTGCTCAGGAGTAACACAAACACCCCTGAATTATCAACACAAAGCCAAACACAGCCCCACAGCAGCCACTGCCAAGAGAAGAACCCCCAGCCCAGCCCAGCTCAGCCCACCTTTACAGATGCAGACAATGTTTTAGTACTTTAATATGTCCATTTATTAAACAGGAAGTCCTTCACAAATGATTCCATACTATATTGATTGGGCTAAGTGTTAGAAAACTACCATTTTCCCTACATACAAAAATACAGACTTTTACCACTATGAAGAATGATCAAAGAGTACCGTGAGAACCCAAATCTTCCCAGACCAGAAAGAAAAGACAGAAAGACAACTAACAAAAAAAAAAACCAAAAAAAAATTTACAAAAAGTTTTGTGCCCATATACAAAAGACTGGGAAATCAAAATGACATTTAAAACTGATAAATACACCATTTAAATTATGCTCTAACAGAACGGATTTTTAAAACAGGACTGCTTTCTGTATTGCAAGACATCACAATTGTCCAGCTCGTGGTTTTGATTAGCAGACACCAACAGAAGAAACACCAACAGACTGAAAAATTGTTACTGGTGTGGGAACAAGGTGGAGGTTCTGTGTAGAGTACCTTGAGATTGGTCAAGCATCAAGAGAACAACTTTCACACACAGAGCTGGGAGAGGCTGCACTTGCACGGGCACAGCTGGAGGGAGCACTGTGGGAAACAGCTGCTTCTCCAGCTGGCCACGAGCTCCTTGAGAGCCTCCAGAACTCCCCAAAGCAGAGTGACGCTCCCCATGAGCTGTCCCTGTGTGAACATGCGCTAAGCTGGGATGTTCCCGAGTCCTCACTCAGCACTGGGTGACAGAGGGACCCTGAGCTGCAGCCCCCAGGGACTGACACCGGGCAGGTGCTGCCTGTGCACCCAGAGCATGCAGGGAGATCCTCTGTGACCCAGCAGGACAGGTTTTACTGCCAAAGCAAAGCACCAAGGGTGTCCCACAGCGGATTGTGCTCGTGTGGTAACAGGAAACTGCATCCCCTCTGCTCAGCCCAGGGTGGAAGTGGAACCTGCCGTTCCAACTAACACCTCAGAGCTGTTTGCAATCCCCAATCTGTCAGCACAGGACCTACAGCCCTGGCACAATCTTTTGGCCAGGCCTGGCTGCTCCTCAGACGCCACAAACCATGAGCTGTGAGCCACAATGAGAGTGTTTAGGTTGGGCCTGCAGAGTATGTTTAGTGTTCCTGCAGAGGGCCCAGGGTCAGCCCCAGGGGTGGAGATTTCCCACACTGAGCATCTCAAGGACAGAATCTGGAGCACCTTCCACCTCCACCAGCCACGTGCTCTGAATCTCCATGCTCAGGGCTCACCCACTGCAGTGCACCAGCAGCAGGTGGGGGTGGGAACAAAGCGGGAGGAAGGCAGAGATGCATCAGTGACTCAGTACAGAAAGTGCTGCCTGCTTGACCAAATCCACCCCTCTGTTTCCGTGAGTGACAAGTGTTCACACCACACGTGGAAGGCACCCCAGGTGAAGCAGTTTCTCGGTATTTTGTTTACAGTTCTGTGAAAAGACGTACAAAGTGTCAAACTTCCAAATCAAAATGGAGCATTATCATGAGAAATAAATACATACTTTACTATTTTATCGTGGGTTCCTGAACCCTTACAAACCTCAACATATACAAATAGTTTCCAAATGACACTAACACAGAAGAGAGTAAGTCTAGACAGATATAATGATCAGCTAAGTCATTCGTTATGTCATAAATGTGGGGCCTAAAGCACAGAAATCATTTTAAAATGCAACAGATTGGCCACAAAAATCAAAATGTTTTCCTACTCCAGAACTGTGATGAATGAGTTAAAGCTGGATGATCTGTAGTGCTAAGATACACTCTCCCTCCATGATATCCAACGAGTAGAAACCAGTAAACATTCAAGATTAAAGTATAAACAGTAGAAAAATGAAGGTAGCAATTGTTGTAATAAAAGGGTGCCAGAACCACTTGAACCTGTAGACATCAGGACAGATGCAACATTACTGAAAGTATTTAGACAATACTACTTTTGGGATTAAAAGGTTACCAAAAGTGGTAGATCAGCCTAGTTCAGAGAGGGTGTTTCCTTTCAAACACATGAAGGTTTTAATTAAATATGTCTATTGAGACATTTGTCCAAAACAATGCAAGACCCTGACATTTCCTGTACTCCACACAATAGCCTGGGACAGTCACAAGAGGCAGATGGTCATGTTCCATTCTGTTCCTCACATCCAGATGTCACTGAAACAGCTGTAGGGACCAGCCCCAACCAAAAAAAAACAAGAAACCCCCAGATACTCTGTTACTACAACCTGGCCATTGCTTTTTTAAATGCTCCTATGTCCTCATCCTGAAGCCAAGAAATACTTCCCATATATGCTAACTGGCTTTTTAAAGTTTTACCCATGGAGTCCATGGGCTGGAAAAACAAAACAAAACAAAACATAAAACCTTCATAGTAAACACAAAGCTCTATGTTATAAATATGTCAATCATGGTAACTATGTATATTGTATATAAAATTAAATATCTTCTGTTTGCCAAGTATAATTTAAAAAAGGACTATCTGTGGCTAGTTATAAAAAAATATTTATTAACCCATAGAGATTAAAAGGCAATTTAAGTAACTCCCGTATCCAGCACATGTGAAAGAGCTGTGCTGGGATTCTGGATTTATCTAATCACATTCCTACGATAAATAGACAACTTTCACTTCTGGGCATATATAAGAACACTTTTGAAACCTGCATATCCCAAAAGAAAATGAGATTGTGTTGATTACTCTAAAGGCTCTCAGAAGTCACAGTGTAAGCAGATTTTTTAAAGATTATTTTTACCATACAAATGGTTAAATTATAGACAAATTTAAAAAAGACAGCACAAAAAAAAAAAAAAAAAAAAAAAAAAAAAAAAAAAAAAAAAAAAAAAAAAAAAAAAAAAAAAAAAAAAAAAAAAAAAAAAAAAAAAAAAAAAGAACCAGAACAAGGAAACCCTTTCAGGTTGGCAGCACCACTCTGACTTGGTCAAACAGATCTATCAAGGTGGCCAAGTTGCTAATAGGGAAAAATGATATACCAGGAAAAAACTCAGAGGTTTCCTGAGCATTTGTATAAATTCATTTTAACCAAAAATACAGAGAGGAATATGGCATCATTTCTACAAAGTATTTTCAAACATTCCTCTGATTTCGCTATCATTTTTAAATTAAAATTCACGCCCAGGACACCTCTGTCTGCACAGGGTTTTGGGGCTCTGCTGGGCTCCAAATAACCACCAATCCATTCTCTCATGCTCCAAACAGAGCCCTGCTGAGCAAACACCTCTGATCCAAGGGGTGTCTCTCCTTTAGGAACTGCAGGAGCACATTTTCCTTCTGCTGTTGGGGATTTTTATTGTTCAAACATCCCTTTGAAAGGACTGGATTATCAGGAGCCCTTCTCATATCTCATATCCATGATCAGATTGTCCCTGCCTTTTCATTTATCCCAAATACCTGCTGAGGATGTTTGGCTCCAGAGCTTCCAGCACAAGAACTGTTCCTTATCCTCTGTCATGCACAAAGCTGTTCAGCCTCTCAGCTGAGCAGGACAGAGGGTATTATTTTCTACATAAATTGCCCTTAAAACTTCCTTATTTTAGATTTTTGGTGAGGGTTTTCCCCTCACAAAAGTGAAGGAGAAATGCTGAAAAAGTTCTCATGAGACAAGAAAACAAGAGACACAGAACAAGACTAAGGAATGGAGGGGAAAGGTTGCATCAATAAAAGCACATATTAGCTAAGCATTTGCTGTGCCTGCACGTGCCCTGTTAAACAGCACAGAGGTGACAAATGCCAAATTCCTTTAGGGACATTACAGTTCATGGAAAAAACTAGTGGTTAATTCCCTCCTAGCAATCCCATCAGTTCTCCTGCTGTGATCCACAGCACGGTGAGAATCCCCAAGTGTCAGGAAGGGACAATCATCACGAGAGACAAAAAAAAAAATAAACTATTACCTTAGGGAAGAGTGGAAACTTCCCCTTTGTAGAATGGACAGTGAAATGCAGACAGGTGGAACAACTCTGGGATGCACAGTGCAGCACATGGGACAAATAGAAGCACCACACACTGACCCTTTTTTGTGATGACTGCAGTTTGGGTAACAGTCTTAAAATAGTACCTCTGTGTAAAATTAAGTCAGGGAGGAATGAGCCACATACACATCAAGTGATCCTAATATTTCAAATTTAGTTGTCTCTCACAGCTACTTTGTTTCCCTTCTACATAATCCAAATAGTAAATAATGTCTCTGCAGACTAATAAGTGCTTAAGATTTTTTAGAAAGTATATTCTGTACAATACTAAAATCATCTTTGGTCCCAAATATAAGGAAATTACAGATTTACAGCTGCTTTTGTTTCACAAAGTGAATCGGTAATTTTAAAACCAACGCTGTGCTAAGATCAAGTCACGATGAAAGTAATAAATAATGGCATTTTCAGCTGAAGAGAACTTATTCCACATGTAAAAGCCCCCAAAGTATATTATAATAGGTGCCCAAGGATTACACTTTACTGGAGGTGTAACTGTACCACTCCTGCACTTGTCACTGCAGCTAAAAGGTACCTGTGACCTCACTGCAAGGAAAACTCAGTGAAGTCACCCCTTTCCGAGGCAATCAAAGGTGCAGGGATTTGAAAGACACCAAATTCCTAAATTTCTGGAGGGCCAAGGCCTCCCACAGCCCTGCCCCCAGCAGGATCAGCACAGGGAAGGATTCGGGAACCCTCCCTTCCATCACTGCCATCAGCCAGCACAGGGACACAGAGGCCTTTGCCACCCATCTCCCAACCTGTGCTCCTCGATTTCAGGTGCCAGTTCCACTCCAAACACGTGGATTTCCTGGAGAACCATATTTTGTATTTTAGTGGGTGGTTTTGGTTCACTTTTGGTTTTGGTGGGGGATGTTTTGGGTTGGGTTCTTTTGGTTTTCTTTGGGGTTTTTTACAGTCTTTATACAAACTGCTTTAATGCCAGTTTACAATTCCAGTCCAGGTGTGCTTGTGCTACTTTTAAAAAGCGCCTTTTAGGGTTTTTACTGCCAGTCATTAAGAACTGACCAAATCTCTGCACACACAAACTCTCTACAAAAGCATCTCCAAACTCCCCTTGCAACCTGCGCCAGTGCCAGGCAGTGCTGATGAACACAGGGCTGGAACAACCCTACTGGCAATGACACACCCTTATTTCTGCCCCCTGCACGTGGAACTGTCATTTACTGCTCAAGGAATGCACAGCAGCCCTGGGGACACCCCCACAATAAAATGTCTCTGTTCTAAACCAGCACCAGGCTTGCAGGTTCAATCTGCTTTCAAACTGACCCCTTTGGCATTAACTCCAATGGAGCACAATAAAATGCTACCACAGGAACTGATAAACCATTGCTCCCTAAGAAAATGCAAATTTTCTTTAAAGACATCAGTCACTCTGAATTTTAACCTCCATCTTCGCCACCCAAGTGAAATGCAGTGCAGATGTCAGTACACTGGAAATTAAAAGGCATCGCCTTTGTCATCTTTTTTCCCCACACATCAAGATAAATCTCTGCTCTCAGTTTGAACACAGAATTAGGGTCACACCCATCCCTATCCCAGCTCCCTCCAGCATCAAGAATCCCAGGCACTTCTGCTGATCTCCTGGTTGGTGTAACCTGCTTTTCATAGTTAAAACACAACCTATTTCTTAAGGCTCCAGGTACCTGCAGTGATCCCTGCAGGGTGCAGCTACATCACAACACAAAGTCAGGCATACAAGGCAGACACTCAGTCCCACTAATGCCATGGATTTCCATTCTCCTCACCCCAGAAGGGAATTCAGCTCCAGACATCTCCTCCCCCACAATGTCTTTGTGGGACATGCAGGCAGGCAAATGCCAAATAATGAATTACACAGACAAAAACACCAAGCAAGGCAACAGAAAAATATCAAGAGACATCTTCCTAATAATATTATGGTATTATTAGGAACAGAATTTGAGGTTTGAGTACAGAAAAATGTAATTCATTCACTGGAAGTACAATTAAAATAAGAAAATTTCAGTTAGGTAAAACTATTTCTAAACAAATCGATACAACCATATTATCCTCCAATTAGTTAAATTCATTTTCCAAAGAGACATTTAGGGGAAAACTCTGCAGAAATATCTACTTCAAAAAAAAAAAAAAATTAAATCAGGTTTACCTACTACCAATGGTTTTAATTTTAGAACCACCATCCTTCCGAAAAGAAATATTTATCTTACACGAACCACAACTTTGCAACCTTAGAAACACTTTCTAAGCACATCGTAATTTTTGGCTAGTTCTTGTTTACCCTAGGCTCGGAGGGAAAGCAAGTTCTAGCAAGACCTTCTGGAAATGTTGAACCTTAAAATAAAATTTAAAAAAAAAATAAAAAGAAAGCCATAGCTGGAACTAAGTCTATTGGATGACAACCCTTTCTTTCTCGACTGTGTCCCTCAACCCCCTTTTCTCCCCCTGTCTCCCATTTTGGAATGAAGAATAGAACAGAAGCCACCAAGAGCACAGAACCACCCACTGGCACTGGAGTGTCCCACCACATCCACAGTTCAGAGCTGGCCAGGGGGCACCTCCAGAGTGACCACCCAGCACTGCACCCCCAGACCCCTGCAGTGCCTTCCCCCTCCTGGGGCTGAGCGTGCAGATCCTGCCCTGGGGCCGTGTGGGGATGGACAGGCACAGTTTGCTGGACAGGGTACGTGGCTGAAGTTATTGCTGTTGGCCCCTCACCTCCTTCTGGGGGGGTTTCAAATCACTTTTGGTGGGTTCCTCTCCTGCATGAACCAACCAAGGTGGTGCTGGTTGTGCTGGTCTCGAGTGTTTGCGGCGGACGAAGAACATGGATCTCCAGGGAGGGAAGGAAACTACCGTGCAGTTAATCCAGAACAGTAACACACTTCAGAACATATATATAAAATATATTATATAAGCTATATAATATATGCATATACATATGTAGAGATCTTGAATGGATCTTCCTTTGGAACGACCATTTCCCGCCTCCAGCCAACACCTTCCCACTCAGCGGCACCCACGCAGGGCTGGGCATCCTCTGCCACCCTCTGATCTTCCTTTTCCTCTGCCAACAAAGAAAAAACCCTTCTTCCATGAGGGAGTCAAGCACTTCTCTTCCCTTTGCAGTCCCCCTGGAGGGTGTGTCACGCGTCCAGGCGCTGGATCTCGGGGCGGTGAACTACCTCCCTGGACTCTGTCCGAGCGCGGATGTAGTCGCTGGTCTGCCGGCTGCTCTGCTGCCTGCTGCTCACCCGCCACTTCCCCACGGCCAGGAACGTGTTCACAGCATACACTGCCATTGCCAGGAAACCAAACACCTACAGCGAGCAGAAACGATTGTCAGAGACACTTCTGGAGCACAAGAAGGAAAGCAGCCTCCCAAGCAAGCCCTCAGAAGTTTGGTTTCCCGCACTGTTTGCGCTGACAAATCATCAGGGCCTGGAAAATTGATGCTGAACTTCGTCAGTGAACTAGAGAATCTGACTAAGAGCAGTGATCCCAGGAAACAAAGTTCCCTGGCTACCAACATGACAATGAAACCCTGGAGGAAGACCCTGTGGTGAAGGAAAGAGCTCTTCACCCAGCAGCTCACTGCTGAGGGTGCACAGCAGCGAGGCAACGACAGCAGGTGACCAGTCCAGGCACTGGCCTGGAGCAGCAGCTACTCTGCAGTTCTTCCTTTATGCTTCTGCAGAATTCATGTTTGGTTTTCAAAACCAGGTTTGAAAAGGAAATTGAAATGGTTGGCAACTCAAGCACAAAATTAATTTGCTTGAACTGACTGCTGTGGATTTAAAACCTTGAAGTGCTTCTGTACTCACTCCACCAAAAAAAAAATCATCTGTGGTGAGCAAATACTCAGCAAATTACATGTAAACAGCTGCAATTTCTTCTGAACTTTTAGGTCTGCCTTTTCCATAGGCTTGCAAAACAGAGCAGGATCATCTAAGTTGGCTACAGGGGAAGAAGCAAGGCCAGTTCAACTGTAAAGTATTCTCTGCAAGTGTTCTTCTGTTTGTTCTTGCCTCAAGCCTCAGGACAAACAGCTCAAAGGACGTTAATACTCTTAAAATAAGAATTATCTGAGAGCAAACTGTAAAATTAGAAGTCAACTGTGACAGCAAAGGCAACAGGTGTATTCAATGAATGAGTAAAAGTTAATCTTTACTTTTGATATAAGAGTTAGATATAAAGAAGTTCAAGTTCTTACCACAGCAGCAATTTCTGCTCCAGTTTTATGGTTTAAAGCAGCAAGTACTACAGAGGCAATGAAAAAGAAGAAAGTGCTGAGTCCAGTGTTGACCAGATCCTAAAAAAATAAATTCATTAGCATTACTAAGTGATGATTCTTTGCTTCCTTTCATTAGAAGTGACAACACAGAAGGTGAGAACAAGAACCAGAGCAATACCTGCCCACTTTTATGGAGTTATCACTGGTACAAAAGGCACAGGATCAGAGTGCACTGGGCTGTGCCCTGAGACACAAAGCACCAGGGCAGCCTCTGCACACCTCATTCCATCTCTCCTGGGCTCATCCTAACGGACTGGCAGCATAAACAATGACTAAAGCTGGCACTGAGTAACGTGACTGTCACACCTGAGCACTCCAGGATCCCCTTGTTCTCTCTCACATCAGCACTCAGGAGCTTTTCCACACATTTTTGAGCCCTTCACTGTATAAAACTGCATGGCCTGTGCAATTTCTGTGGGTAACAGCTGCCTGTACGGTAAGAATACATAGGTTTTTACTGATTACTGCCTAAAACTGATGTTTCAAGCAGATATTTTAGAACATATGCACAGCAACACAGTCAGAAAACTCTTCTTTTGCTCCATGCAGGGAAAACCAACTTGCTACACACAATTCAGTGATCCAAATGCTGCACATGTCACTGGTTTCAGGTGATTATGCTACCATGCCTTACATAAACAGGGACATTAACAGAAGGAAGAATTCTAAATAATTCTATAATTATTATTATATATTATATAATTATAATAATTATACCATACAAGACTTACCTGACCTTGAGGGAAAAAAAAAAAATCAAGGGTTTAAAATAATGGAAGAAACAGAGTGGAGATTCAATAGGGAATGTTCGGTGTGTTACTCAGGGCTTCTTTCACAAGTTTAAAACATTGGATCTGGATGGACACTGCACACTCCCATTGAACTGGGAATATCATTCCAAACCTCAACACAAGGCTACCATGGGAATGGAGTGGTTGGGGTGGAGGAACCAAGAAATGGCAGTTCAGCACAAACAGCCTGGAGGAACACGAAGTCAGGGAGAAGTGAATATTATCCAGTAAGAACTGAATATTATCAGAGCCAAAAGGGATGGAAAGACAACCTGTACACAAGATTGCTGGGCAACTTACAGGCCTGAGCTGAAGAAAAAACCCAAACACACAACCAAACCACACTGAACATGCCAACTCCCACCCTAAAATGAAAAAAAATCCCTGCTCGAGCTTACTGAGACAGATGTTATCCAGCCCTTAAGACATCAAACCAAATTAGAATTCTATCAACTAGTTATTGCAGTTTTAATCATGTAACTTCTTGTTTGCAGAGATAAAAAACCTTTCTATAAATAGAGGTATTAGAGAACAACTGACATTTCCCAATTTCTCCAAGTATCCCCTCTCCAGCTCCGAGCTGACAGCTCTAACTGTGCTTCTGCAGTTGCCAACGAGAGCTGTGCTTCTCATCTGCACAAACCTTTGTTCCACTAGAGGGGAACTCCCACTACACAAGGAGTGTCCAGTGGTAACCTCACCTTTGCCAGGGACACTGGAATGCTGAGTCCTGCTCCAGGATCCACAGTTTTAAAAGAATGCTGAAAAATTGGACAGGCTACAGAGAAAAGCCACAGAAGTTATTCCAAAGGAGGAGAAAATTTCTCACCGTTTCAAAAGAACCTAAACTGCTTTGAATATTAAAAAGATGGAGCTGTGTACAGGAAGAACCCAGCGCTCAAACGATCAAAAAATAGGAGCTGTTTTCAAAGCTGAACATCAAACAGCACAACAAAATTAACAGCTGCAAAGTCAAGGCACAAAGTCATGTTCAAAATGAAGTGAGTTTTATTTTAATTGAAGGGAGCTAACCAACAGAACAAGCAGCCAAAGACGTGCTTAATATTGGACCTTTTCACTTCTTATCATCCACATTGTGTTTTTTCAGAGCCACATTTTGTATTTCCTTAGTATCAAATTTAAAGGCCAAGTGGATGGCACATAATGCTGCCTGATTTGTGAGCTCAGATGGGTTTATTAATTAACCCTGGTGACCTCTAACTTTTGAGTCTGTCAGCCTGACCACCTTTCCAAAGCATGAGGAAGATGACCAGGCCTCCCCACAGCACAACACAACACACATCATGAGCCATCTCCGGGCTACAAACTGACCTGAAGGCTTCTCTAAGAAGTCTGAGATACTGCAGAATATAAAATAGATAAAATACTGAATACACAATTCAAATATAAAATGCTTTTCCCCATGTACTTTGATATAAGTACATTAGAAACTTATCATCATCACTGGCATCGTATTTTATGGTACTTTTTACATAAGAATAAAGTGTGTCCTTGCAAAGAGTTCAACAATGCAAATCTAAAGAACTGATCTTCAGGTTCCAATTTATTCATGTCTGCAGCTCCATTTTTCCTGTTTAGCTCAAACCTTTTTAATGCAGTTAACAACTGATTCACATTTGTACATTAAGGCTGGTTTCTTAAAAAGCTAAACCCACTATGATCCTTTATTATTCACAGATCAGATTGTTTAGAGCTTGAGGAGCAATGATGCTTACCAGTAACAGTCCTACAGATATATAATGGCAACATCACAGATGGAAATGTCAGTGGAGGTTTGAAATCCAAAATGTGAGCAGAAAGATAAGAAAAGGAAAAAAAAACCACAATGGTTTTGGACAAAGTCAGAGCAGAAACAAAAGAAAACAAACTACAGCAAGAATTCAAAAAGGAAAGGACACTCCTTAAAATAATGCAGCTTTTTTCCACCTAAGAGAACAGGAATAATCGTGACAATAAGAACAAACTAATTGAAAAAAGATGAGCTGCTTCAAATCTGGCCAGGCTGGAGCTGAAGTTCTTGCTATTATATTTATAGACAAAGTAAAACCACATCACAGAGGTAAAGAATTTCTGCTGAAACTGCAGCAACCTCATGAGACAGTGTGCTGTGCCACAAAACTGTGCAGAGCTGCCATCCACAACAGAATCAGAGCTGGGAGCTGAATCAGAGCCACTCCAGGCTGCTCCTGCTCCCTCTCTCCTGTCCCAAATGATCTAAAATGAACAACAGTCCCAGAATCACCGAGGCTGGAAAAGACCTCGAGATCATCGAGGCCCATCTGAGTCACTCTGTGCAGCCACCAAAGGTCCTGCCAGTCCCCAGCAGGGTATTCAAGGAGGGTATCCACATGTTCCTGGTGTCTGTCCCACTCAGAAGGAGCACAAGGCAGAGGAGAGTTCATAACCTGTGGATGAAGATGGGCTGATGCCAAGATAAGAGTTTTACGCCAAAAAAGGTGATGCTTTTGTTCTCCTGTAAAGGTGGGAAACTCCATCCTACGATTCTTTCATTTTTAGGGGTGTGGGCCCCTTTGGTTCCAGAACTGATGCTAAGAGTGGAACAGACCTGAAGAGCCTCATTAGGTAACCCATGAAAGCTGGAGGCACATCAGCTCTGACAGCTTCTGCTCAGCCCTCCAGCCTGGTGCTCCACCAGGAACTGGCTCTGATGCTCAGGGGCTCCAGCAATGTCCCCATGCCTCTCTCCACAGCTCCCCATGACTTCACACATGCAAACTTCTGAGAAACATTCACTCACAATGCACGCTCTGCCTTTGTATTCTGTATTTGGTGGTGAAATAAGCAACCAGGTACTAATTAAAAGGTGGAAAGTGCCTCCATACTGCAACTTGGAGACATAAAAATATGTCTTTTTTTAAACTGGTGGTTGCTTTTGGCATTTGCCTCCTGAACTCCAAAAATGTGCATTCAGATGGAGCTTAAAGCAGCTAAACGGATGTAATGTGGAAGAGGAGCCTGCACATTTCAGCAGCCTGATTTTGCCACAAAAGGTGTGCAGGTTCTCTTCCACGGGAGAGCTCAAAGTGACATTTCCTTTCAGTTCTCTTTGGGTTTGCTGGTTTGTTTCTCAGTTGGCAGGGGAAGGAAGAGGGAGTGTGGTTATGAATTTTTAATATTTTTTTAATACAATGTCCCTCATTTTTCCTCCAACCACTACTTTACTTGCAAGGTTTGGGAACTTCCCCCTTGCTTCCATATGAAGTTCTCAGGTTGAAGGTTACGAACACACCAGTCAGTCCTCTAAACCAATCACTTCTGGTCAAACTCTCACAATTTTGCTCTGAAACCATCTTATTAAACACTTCTGGAGTATTTTGCACTGCAGTTAAACATTAAAACACGGTTCCTCAAACAAAAATAAGTCCTAGGTAGAAAGAATCAAATTAACAATATGAGCATGAATTCCCATCTCCTTTTTTCATTATTTTTCATTATTTATTTAGGCGTGCCCAGGTATGGGAGCCTCTACTGAAGCACAAGATACACACAATTAAACAGTCCAGGACCAGCAATTCCCAAGGCATGCCAGGCACCCCCAGGGCTGGATTCACTGTAAAGATACTCCTGTTCAGGTGCTTTGATCCAGTCCCAGGTGTCTGGCACCTGATGGAAATCAGTTCTACTTCCTGCATCTCCAGCAAATATGCAAAAAACCCCCTGTTTAACACAAGTGACTTCCAAAACCTTGGTCAAAAAGCACAGGAACAAGCTGTGCTTTTGAAGAAATGGGAGAGGTGGCCTCAAAACCAATATTTGGATTATTTTATTCTTACTTCTATGAATTTTTGGAGGACAGACTGTCAGATGCAGTCACTCTGCTGCAAGTCACAGAACACATTCCAGAATGAATAAATGAACGTTTCTACAACCCCCATTTCACTTTGGTTTCTTGTAGATCACCTCCCCATCTCCCCCTCAGTTCCTCACTGCCTTCCCTGTGTGTTTTCCCAACAAACAGCCCTGTACATGGACAGGACCATCAGTTATTGTCAACAGACCACACTTGCAACAACTACCAAAACATGTCATATTTCTTGTCTTTAAAACCTGGGATTGCATTTGTTTCAGAATAACTTATCATTTACACCACACTGCACCAAATGAGAGCAGTCCATGAAGAGCGCTAATCTGGAGGAACTTAATTTGGACTTTTTTAAATTTTCAAATACTCATTTTTGTCCTTATTAGGTATTGCTATTTTGACAGCAGTAAACAGAGAGGTCAAGGGTGGCTCATTTCATTTTTCATTCAACAGCTAAACAAGCCAAAGAAAAGCAAGTTGTTTTATCAAAACAGAAGGAGGAAAAATAAATTAAAAACAAAAATCTAAATCAAGACTGTCCTGTGAAGGCCCCTGAACTGCAGCTTTGTGATTCCACCTGTCAGAGCCAAGGCTGGCAGAAGACACTTGGTCATTCTGGGCCCACGGGGAATTTTCTGCCAACTCCCTCAAGTGTCAGTGCTTGCACACAAGGTTTCACTGCTGCAACAACAGCAACAACCACCCTGCAGAGATGCTGAAATCAGTTCTGAGGCAGCACAAAGCACGAGGACTGATCTGCGTGTTCCCACACACACACCTGGGTCCCTGTGCCTCCTCCCTGGCACTGAGTCCAGCCCAACAAGCCCAGTGGAGCTCTGATTTTGGGCTGTGCCCAGTTCAGGCCTCACTTTCGAGCCTGAAATGCTCTACATTCACACCAGATAACACCACCAGAGTTCCAGTGAGCCCTTCAAAAAAAAGAAAAATTAAAAAATCAACAGTAAGAAATCTCTGGGAAGATTTTTTCCCCCCCCCTACACACAAATAATTCATTCCACTGGCTGATCCTGCAGGGCCAGCTCGTGCACACAGCTTGGCTGCCACTTCTTAAGCTCTCCCTGCACATCACATGAGATTGGAGTGGTGAATTTTCGAAAGGAGGGATCGTTTGCCCAACCCCAGGATTACATCAAACACCCAGTCCTTAGTTAATAACTGAGTGGTTCAGCAGGAGTGTCTGCTGTGCTGTGCTCCCCATTCCCCTGGCCCTTTTCTCCCTGCAGAATGGGCTCCCTCTGAGCTGAGAGGCACAAAGGAAATGGAAATTTCCACTGACAGGTTCCCAAGCTTTTGCATTTTTGCATAACATTGATAGTGCTGCACAGCACAGACAAGTGACTGTTCTTTCATCTTCCTGAACAAACCAGCCTCTCTCCAACACACCCAAGCAGGGCTCTTTTCCGGCCTCAGCATCTCCAGGTTCCTTGCATGTTTTCCTCAGAAAAATCATTGGCAAGTCTCTAATTAGGATCAAAACAAATCTCTCTTCCCCAAATGGTTAAAAATATGTATTCTTAAAAAATCAGCAAATTTGCCTATTAGAGGATCATATACAGATCTATGTTTTCATTCCAATAGTGGACATCAGACAATATCCACAAGGAATCAGAAAGAATTCTGATTTTAATCTACTTTGAAAGGAAACAGTCCTGTGTTGGACAATGGCAGTTGATGGCCACAAACTTTCTAATGTGTAGGACCATTTGAAAGCAAATAGTTTCAAATGGTTCCTAGGAATAAGCACTGTTTTAAAAGAAATATTTGTTCCTAAATGCAAGACTATTAAATTCCTCCAAGCACTGTAACAGCCCCTTCTCACACAGCTTCTAAAAGCAACGTTTGAGACTTGCCATTCCAAAGCCATATATATTTTTAAAAGCATGCATGTGGATGAATTTATACATAAGCAGGAGTGACTTCCTCCTAAAGCGTTCAGGGGTGTCAGAGTCTTGCTCAGAAAGCAACTCCTGCAGTAACTGTGCCACATACAGAGGCTGCAGATTTATAAAAGCAGTCATCAAACACAGGAAAGGAATAAATGTTGGCAGAAGCAAATGAATGAATATATAGCTAAACTGTAAAGAATAAAATGCCAAAGTAAGTAAAAACAAAACAAAAATCAGTCACAACCCTACATTCTTAAATTTCCTCCTAACTTGGCCAAAGTGATCTCTCCCACGTGCTTCGGCACAGCCTCTGATCTCACATTCTGTATGTTCAACAGCAGAGTTGCTGCAGCATCAAAGAGTGCTCCTTAATCCTCCTGATTAATGAAGACATTCCTTCACTCCTGTCAGAGTAACAGAGTAGCATTTAACAAATGATTGTTAAAGCAGTCAGAAATCAGTCAGAAATGCAGGAGGAAGAAGGATGGTCTCCTCAGTTCCTGGAAGACACAAGCTTCTGGCTCCCTTCTCACTGTGGTGGACACCTTTGGGACCAGGAGGAGAGAAGCATTTCACCTTCAGTGCTTCATAAAAGATTGAAACTTGTGAGACTGTGACCACTTCCTTCCCCCTCCATGGATCTGGGAATATGAACTAAAGCAAAGGCATTTGCAGTGTATTCCATGTGCTCTCTGGGTTGAACTGACCATGCTCTTAGGCAGAGTGACCACTGCCAAAAACCCAAAATATTCTTTCAAAACAAAGGGGGAAAGAAAAAAAAAAAAAACCCAAACACAGCTGGTTGGATTTTGAAGCCCTCCTTTCCCTAAAAATCAGACCACTAAAAACCCCCTGCTGTGTGTGGAAGATCACTGAGTGGAACCACTCCTGTCACAGCAGCAAAAACCACATGGCTTTTATGGACACTGCTGCACTTGCACACACTTGGTTTGCTCCTCAACATCCCACCAGCACATGCAGAACCTCTGCCATAAAGGATGGGCTGTTGTGATGCTCCTGGCACACCCAGGCTGGCATCAGCAACACAAAGCACCCTCTCCCTGCTGCTTTCCAGCCTGTGCTGCCAGGAGAGGCACAGTGGAAACAAAAGGAGCGAGGGCAAGACAAGCCAGTAACATTCCAGGGGTTCCACTGGTTTGGCTGTGCAAGCTACCTGGACCTGCCCCAGCTCCAGCTGTCAGTGCCAGCTCTCAGTCCATCTAATCTACACACCAAGACTCCATGGAGTTCCTCAGTAGATTATGCAGCCCCAGAGCACAAAGGATCATCTAATTTCACATTCCACTCTCATTTCAGACAAGTCATTCAGGCTTAGAAACGAAGCAAATTGCAACATTAATAAATTACATTTAAAAAATTAATTAAAAAACCTACACAGAAGCCTAAAAACCTGAGAGTCCAGCAGTATTTATAAAATTACTGTTATAAACCAGAACATTGGCACAGCTGTGTCTATACCGTCCAGAGAAGCTGATATATTGTCCTTGAAGCTGACAGATCTTCTGCTAGAGTGACTGAACATGTTGATTTTGTGACCTGTGTTTATGCAAGCCCATCTGAAAGTTTAACTCGTCATACAGCATGAAAATAGAGACTTGTCCAAGAGGAATGTGCACTGCCAGCAGTTCTCTCCCTCAGCCTCCTCGGAGCTGAGAACACATTGAGCACTGGCACTCACTGTTCAATAGCTATGCGTGTGAGCAATTCACCTGATTTTCACAGAAAGCACAGAATTTTCTACACTCCTACCCCATGATTGTATTAATCTGTGTAAGAAAATACATGTAGCACATCTGTCCTAATGCAAAAACCCTCCAGGTTAAGAGAGAACAACAGGTTACTGTAAATACAGCATCTGTCAAAGTTAAATAACCACAGGCTGCATTTTTATCCACTTCATCCACAAAGAGTAATTGCTAGTATTTGCAGGAAGTTTTTCCTTCCAAAGAGAATCTACGAGAAGTCAATTTTAGTTCTACTCAGTGTAGTTTAATCCTGCTACATTTCAAAGCTCATGCTGCTGTTGGCATTCAAAATAAATCCAAGTAAAATGCATACTTTACTCAGCACAAAGGACACAAACAACAGCAGAAAGTAAAGTTCAGAGACCCAACTTAAGCCAGATTTGCAGCTATTTATACCAGAGTGAAGTGCAGGAACTTACAGTGAGATTCCAGTTGATCTGTGGTATCCTGGTGTGAAGGTTCAGACTGAACAGAAGCAGGAGAGCCCCGGTAACCACGAGGGCACTGCAGCTCACAAACTCAAAGAAGTACAGGCCCTCGCAGGGGGAGCATTCCATGATGGTCTCGATGCAGATGAAGGCGGTCAGTGCCAAAACCTGGCAAGAAAAACAAGCGGGGCGGGGGGGGAATATAAATAGATTTCCGCATTTTGAAAGTAGCCACAAGTATTCCTGAAATTTCCATGGGGAACACGATCAGTTTACGCTCAGGAATGTGTGATTTTAGTTTACAGCAGGGCACTGTCTGAGGAGCAGAAACAAATGCGAAGCAGTGCACGACTCCATGGATTTGTGCATCTTAGCAAAATTACCAGGAGCCTTAACATCAAAATGACCAGGACACCCCAAAAAGCAGGAAACCCCTTCAGGCCATCGGCTCAGTATGCACCTCAAACATTTTATCCCATTCTGCACTCATGATATGCTATTCCAAAACCAGAAGATGGAATGAATTTGTCTACTGGGCCAACCTCAAGCACAATCACATAATATCCATGCCATGAGACTGGGAGACATTTCAATGAAGACATTACTTAAAATGCACAACCGAGATCTAAATCAATTCCAAATAGAATAGATTCAAGATCTCTACCAGTCTCCAAAAATGCCTGCCTTTTTCAAGTTTACCATCATCAGTATGCTGCTGCATTTCATGTAAAAACATATTTTATCATTCCCCTCTAAGACAATAAAACAAGCAGCTCATAGAGGAAGGAAAACCTCCTGGGGCTGCAAACACAAACTTGTAACTGGGATAAGGGCTGGTGACACTAAATTCAGGAGATATTTGGCAGAGTTGACACAGGCAGACTTTAATTCACCGTTTAGGATGAAATGCAAACTCACTGTACTCTAAAGAAGTCTGCCCAGTGGAAAAAAACTAAACTGCACAAAAATAAAAGCTCACTATGAGCTGCCAGTGAGAGCCAGCACAGACACCACGAGATCCCCTGAGAGCTCCCACACAACTCACACAGGCCAGGTCAAACCCAGAGCTCCCCAAACACAACCGGGAAAGCAAAACAGTGCCACGGATGGGTTGGTTTTGTTGGCTGAGTTTGGGTTTTTTTTTTGTTTTCCAGGGCAAGCAAGGAAGGCCTTCAGATTGTTTTGCTCTGGATTTTAGGACAACCACTCCCACCCACCCACTTACATTTTTCAGAAGGAATTCTCTTCCTGCTCTGTCACAATATTCTAATGAGGCTGGAGGAGTCACTTCAATTTGAGAGGGAGGAACTAAAGGAGATGGTTTCCTCAGAGCTAAATATTCCACAGTTTAAATGTTTTGTCCAAATAAAAGTTTAAGAGATTATAAAAACCGTAATAAAAATCAATTTCTGCTAAATCCTTCTTGGCCAATTTCAGTGTATGGTTCATCCATTGGTTTGCCTTTGCTTCCTACAACAAAACTAACAAAATGAAGAAGGATTTCGAAAGAAGTTACAATTTTTGTCACCAACACCAGCAGTAATTTTAATTAAAGCATAATATCCCTCCTGCTTCCTTTGCCACATACAGTAGCAAATTTAAGTTTAAAAATGGATTAAAACAAAGCAAAACTATTTTAATAAAAAACCTTTGGTTGGAAAGTCTCTCTCAGCCCACTTGGCACATGCTCATTAGGACAGCACATGCCATACTAATTTCTGTCAGCTAACAGAGCAGGGCAATTCCCATCAAACCATTCTGAATGTAAACCCAGTGACTAAACACTTCAGGGTTTATCTTTGACACTGAAGAGCTTCAGAAAAAAAGATCATGCAGTGAAATGGAATATTCAGAAAAGCAGAATCAAAGTATGATTTCAGCAACGACATACATATCAAAAAAAAAAAAAAAATCCTGTTCAGAACACAGCTTGATTTTAAATATTAGCATGTAATAAATACTAGCATGTAATTAGCATGTCTATGAACACATGCCTCACAACTGAAGATGACACTGAACACAATTTTCAAAAGGTAAAGCTCGAAAAATCAATCTTAGCAGTTCCAAGCAGGACCAATGCCATGTATTAATGCTAAATATTAGCCAGCAAAACTTTACCTTTTAGATGTTCCAATATAATAAAGTCTCTATTTTTCTTGCCCCTGTTTCAGATCTATTATGACATTTGTAAACCTTTTACTCTTTTAACAGAAATGGTTCTGCAATATTCACTAGAAACACTGCAGGACAAGCCCCAGTAACAGTAGGTTCATCCTCTCAAAACACGAGCAGCTCTGAATTGTGCTGCCAACAGGAGGCTGAGGCAGCCAAAATCCCCGGCAGCCCAGTCGCTGTGCTGGGCAGCTGGGACCTGGCAGATGGAGTCTCTGGTGTCCTGCTGACACAAAGCCCACCCTGACTCTTCTCCACACCAGACAGCACTGCTTCTCCAAGGCCAACACACCCAGCGTGGCTATCAAAGCTCAGAATGGATCCAAGGGTTTCTTGCAGCCAGCATTAGAAACTAATTATGTGCTGAAGAGGCACTTGGAGCAATGAACTCCCATAATCATGTGGTATTTACATATTCCCAAGCTCAGAATTAATAAACTCCAGAGCAACTCTACCTTTAGAGTTCATTTTATCCCTTAAGAAACCATACAACACATTTACCTGTGACACACCCTTGTTGGTTGTGTACACTCAGGTTTGACTTAATTAAAGCATTTCCAGTGCAAGTAAAGATGTGTCAGCAGTTTACCAACGTGCAGCAGCACCAGGGCACGTGGTCTGGGGTCTGTTATCTGCTCAGCAGGGGCTGGGACAGAACCTCAGCTGCCCCAGTGATGGTGGAGATTTGTAACGTGCACAATAAGTGACTCCACAGGAACACCCTCACAGAGGGCACTGGCACACCTGAACACCTCCTGGCTGGGGAGTCAGGGAGGGGACAGCACTCCCACACACACTGTTTGCTTCTAACACTTGGGTACTTCAAGGAAGATTCCAACTCAATGTGTTCCTGTTTTCCTTGCAATAAAAATACATCTCGCCCTTCTCAAGGATTATCCATCCTGCCAGTGCTACAGTGCTCTCTGCTACCTGCCCATCATTTGTCTTACAACAAAGCCAGGAAAACAAATGAAATCCAAATTAACCACTGCACCAGAAAAAAAGCTGCCCTCTCACAGAAACTTCCCTTTCCCTAATCACAATACAAATCTCAGTCTTCAATACAAAATACTTTCTCTTTGAAACATCAGGATAATCTTGTTCTCCTACACATTTACAAACTTGCCAGCAGCATCCTTCCAATTAACTACAAGTAATACGAGTCTGCTATTAAAACACACCAGTTCCACTTTCACTGACCGTTCCCTCAGAGATTAATCCAATTTTTGTTTTTAATAAAGAAGCAAATCAATCTGAGCACATGAAATGAAAGTGAAATACATGAGGTTAACTCTACAACCCCATGACTTACTCAGAGAGCTACAATACTTGAAAGTGTTGTGTAAATGCTGCCACTTGAGCCAAAGCAGCTTTGTCAAAGGTCACAGCTCAGCCAGAGAACAAGTTCATTGAAAAACAAAAGAAAGTGTTAACATTTATTTTCTCTGTATTTTTAAATTTATGAAACAAATCATTTATGAGACAGGGTACACAGATGAGAGAGTGGATTAACACAATTCTGCCACCCAGGTAGCCCTTATGACACGGCCACAGAGCAGACTGGGGTGCCCCAGGATGTCCCACTGCAAACTGCAGACACACCAACATTCAGGCTTGGGCTCAGCTCCCCCACAGTGTTTCCTGAGGGGCTGCAGTGCAAGTTCAGTGCTGATTTTCTCCTGTTCCCACACAGATCTCTGTAACCATACTCAAGACACCTCCTTTCTCACCTCTGTTCATCTCCATGCCCGTTTGACCGCCCATCCCTGCCCACCCAACGGGCTCATCTGCACACAGCTCACATCTTACCCAGGCTCAGAGACCTCAAAAGTCGCTTCTCCAGAGCTTCCTACGCTCTTCCCTCTCCAACACCACACACCCAAAATAAAACTGGTGCTACCCAGGAGGAGCAAGGAAGGAGCAGGGAAGCCCCCAGGCTCCATGCAGAGTGGCACCGCCCCAGGTGACTGAGGCACAAAGCTACACCAGAGCAAACCCTCCCCTCCACAGCTGCTGGAGCTCTGCCCTTGCTTTGCAACACTCACAAAACCAGGATCCAGGATGCTGTGTCTGCCTCCCACCACTGCAGTTCCAACACTAGCTAAAAAAAATATCAGAGAACCAAAGACCCAGCATCGTATCAGAGCACAGGCCTCGGCCAACAGAATGCTGGCATTTGTCCAGCACGGGAGACAAGCCCCCACTTTCACATCACACGTCTTTTCGTAGCTCAGGGTGATGAGATTCGACAAGTTTTTCCACAAGCAGAAGTTTCAAGGTTGGTTTACCAAGGAAAAACGAGAAGCTGAACGTGGTGGAGATCTCCTCTTACATGAATTACTGCTCTCTCCCACAAATAACACAGCTCCAGCTTCCTCAGGCCGAGGCAAGAAAGCCAGTTTGCTCTGATGGATGAAACAAACCTTTCCATTGGGTTTTCTCTACACCAAGTACTTTGGAGAGTTTTCTGTTTCACCCTAATTCTTCCAATACCCAAAGATTTGCATAGCGCTCTTTTATTACAGGATTTCTCTTTTTTAACATTTGCTTTTGGTTTCTCTTTGCCCAATGTGTGAGTGCAGCTCCAGCCCTGGGACAGGGCAAACACCTCCTGCCCTTCACCCACCACCTGCCACCACCACAGCACCAAAGGCAGATGGAAAAACCTCCAAGTAGAGGATCAAGGATGAGATGGATTCGGCAATAATGGCTTTCTGTGTTTTAGCCCTGAACAACGCGGCAAACTGTCCCCCAGAGTTATGTCTGGGGTGTTTGGCACTGCCAAGGTCACTCAGGTACAGGGCAAGGCTCTGTATCAAACAGCACTGTGCTCCTAGGGCAGCTCATGAGGAGAGAAACTGCCCCTGGCTGGAAGGGGAGGAAGAGCCCACAATTTGGGGCCATGGAATTCCTAAAAGAGAGCCTCTAGTCCGGGATCCAATGTCCTTAAAGTCAGCCACATTAGACTGCTACCATGACTGGATCCATCTCAGCTT